GACCTAAGCACTGCTTAAGACAGCAGAGCATGTTCCAGAAATACAAGCAGGAGACCGAGTCCTAAACTGTTTTTTCAGAGATTCAATAAAGAAAAAGTAAGATATGTAAATATATTGTGTTAGCACCAATTTAAGTGTTTCTTTATCTTTTATTCATGTTATAAAATGACCCTCAAACTTCATCATCATCAAAGGACTTGGTACAAATCATTTAGTTCCACCCCAGACTTCTGACTCAGCAGGGCTGGGCACTGCTCAAGAACTCTTGTTATCAAGCTAATGTTGGTTTTCTAGAAAGCAGTCTTTGTTCTGTTGTTTCTCCCCACTGTGCCAATTCCCTTTTCATCTATTTTTTAGAAATTAATGATACACATAGAGAAAAACAACACAAACTATGAGCCAAGAACATGAGTTATGATTCAGGTTGAACTTAAAAACCTCGTTCTATGACTTCTAAGCCAGTGACCATGCCATATGGCCCAACCTCTCCAATATATCCGAGTCAGATAATAACAGCATATTCTTTGCTCATAGTGTTCCTATAACACTTTAGTACTAAGTACTTATACTGTAAAACAAATAGTAAATGTTAAATGTTATTCCACATATAACTTCATATGTCTAGTCCCACAGTTAAGAAAAAAAGAACCCAGAATAACTATCAATAATTTTATTAAACAAGCAGCAAAATATCTTTTACCTACTTTCTTCACCTCGCTTTTGACCGGCCTTTCCTTTTAGAAGAATGCCAGATGATCTCCATTCAAACAAATTATACTAATACACTCGTAAATGTAATTTAGAGTCACCACTCATTACAAAACACTACTCGTAACCTTTAATCACACATCACGCCTTAAAAAGTTTGATTTCATGCCTTGAATGCACTTCAAGAGTCTCAGAATTGTCTGTTCTTATAAAGTGCAGAGTGAACCATGAAGCATATAGCATGAACTTGTTTTTAGAATTTGTTAGTGCAAAGACCTCCAAATTGAGCTGTTCAAATCACACAGAGGGGTATGCAATCTAATGCAGCTAGAAAGAAAGGAGTTTAATTGTGTCTCATTTTTAAGTTTCACACTTGTAAATGGTTCATATACACCTATTTATTATCTAATACATATTATTTAAATACAGGTATTATTCACTGAAGTTTCTTACTATAATGACAGAGCAGCAGCAAGAAAACAGAGTACAGGTAGGCAGAACTACTGTCAACTTCCTCATAGTTCTTTACTTTCACTCCTATCGGATCACTGAGTGATTTACCAATATTATTTCTAAGTTCTCTTAATATTTATATTCAATAAGACATCTTTGTTTTAAGAACAAATGTGAACTAACATAATTTTACTACTTCAATGTTTTCTAATCCTGTGAATAAACTTCCTACTGAACAATTCTAGTTAGCAGAATACAGAACAAGTTGTGGTTAGCAGCATCTAAGGTGGCCCTGATAGTCCAGAAATCTTCCCATTCATTTTCCTGAACACCACCCCAGAGTATCAGTTGGACAATATCTAAGTTCCAACAAACAGGCTAGAAGAAAGAAATGAACAATCACTTTAAATACAGAAACGGTGACCTTCAGGCTGAAGAGATGGATCAGCAGTTCGAGCACTTGCTTTTCTTGCAGAGGAACCTGAGTTCAATCCCCAGCACCCACATGGCAGCTTACAACCAACTTTGACTCTAATTTCAGGGTACCTAGTGCCCTCTTCCTGCCTCTATGGGCACCAGACACTCGAACACACAGCGTACATATGACATACAGGACACACACACATTAAAAAATAAAAAGCCTGTGAGACTCTGTGTTACTGATCCTTCTCTTGGTAATTTGAATAGGTACGTCCCCCACAGACTCATGTATATGAATGCTTGGTCTATAGGAAAGACACTATTAGGAAGTGTGGGCTTGTTGGAGGAAGTGTGTCACTGTGGGAGAGAGCTTTGAGGTCTCATGTGCTCAAACTACACCCAGTGTGGGACTCAGTTCACTTCCTGTTACTTGCAGAACAAAATGTAGGACTCTCAGCTCTTTCTACTGCACCATGTCTGCCTCCACTATGCTATCTCATTAAACTCATTAACTATGGCTAATTGAGGCCCTATTATAGAATTATTTACATTTTAACGAGATACTTTAAATTTTAAAAACAAAATAATAAAATTGAACTAGTACAAGAACTTCAGAATTAACAAGTCATTCTTTAAGGCCCTCTAAAACTAGTGCAGTCAGAACAAAACGGATCTATACATTTATGTAGTGAGAATTCTAATTGGTATTTTTAATAAAAACCCGGAGTCCAATATTAGGGAGTGAAAGCTGAAAGATCAGAGAAGCAGAGTAGCCAGTCACTAGTTCTTACCTCTACAAAATCCTCAGACCAAATGATGTAGCCTATCTCTCCAAGTCCTCAGACTGAATGCCTTGAGCTCCTCCCACCTTATAGTCCTTTCTCCAGCCAGCCCTATTGCTCCTGTCTCCTCCTCCCTAGTGCTGGGATTAAAGGCGTGTGATCCCAAGTGCTGGAATCACCTTTGTGTGAGCTCTGTTTCTCTCCTAGACAGATTCGATCTTGTGTACTCCAGGGCGGCCTTGAATTTAAAGAGATCTATCTGCCCCTGCCTCCCAAATGCTGGGATTAAAGTTGTATGCCACCACTGCCCAGCCTCTATGGTTAACTAGTGGGTAGCTCTACACTCTGATCCTCGGGTAAGCTTTATTTGTTATAGCACAGACAAAAAATATCACCACACTGTAGTAAGGAGGCTACTTGTTCGTTTCCCGGTACCCAGACTCCTGAAATAATCACACAAAAACTGTATTAATTAAATCGCTGCTTGGGCAATTACTTAACCATATTGCTAGCCAGCTCTTACATCTAGACTTAGCCCATTATTTTATATTTTACCACGAGGCTCATGGCTTACTGGTAAGGTTTCAGCATGTCTGTTTCTGGCTGCAGCTCCATGGCGTCTCCCCTGACTCAGCCTTCCTTCCACCTTCCTTCTCCCAGCATTCAGATTAGTGTCCCCCACCCCACCTAGCTCTGTTCTACCCTATCAGGCCAAGCGAGTTTCTTTATTAACCAATGGTATTCACAGCATACAGAGGGGAATCCCATATCACCACACATTTAAATTTTGTAAAAGTCACATTAAACAAAAATAAGTTAACTGCAAAACTGCATTTGATGTCACTAGTCTGTCCAAAACACTATCACCTTACACATGTCATTAATATTTTGTGTGTATATGCACATATTTGTGTGCAATATATGGATGAAGGCCAGAGCTCAGTAGTGTCAGGTACCTTGTTCAATCAGTCACCAACTTATTGTTTGAGACAGGCTATATCACTGAATCTGGAATTCACCAATTCAGCTAGACAGGCTGGACAGCAAGCTCCCAAATCAAGCTGCCTCTACCCCAGCACTGAGAGTACAAGCATGCCCCACATGCTCAGCTTTTTTATATACTGGGCACCTGAACTTAGGTCCTTCATGTTTGTACAACAAACATTTTATGAACTAAGCATTCTCCCAAGCCTCCAATACTTAAAAATTTATACTTTATTTTCCTTACATATTCATATTTTTACATGTATTTTACAGTTAATAGTGTACCTCAATCTCAAAATTCAAAAACTAAATGTGTCTAGTGGCTACCATACTGCACAGGGAACATCTAAATTTTTTTTAAGTAATAGTAAAGTAGAAAGGCATACTGCATTCGTATTTAAACATCAGTATTAGAAACAAAAAACAGAAGATATTACTTTCTATAAACTTTATACTGACAAAATCCTAAGCTCTATTTTTTAAACATAGGCTTTTATGAACTGGGGTACCCTAAAGAGTTGACAATGATACTCCCAGAAGGCATCATTAATTATCAAAATTCTCAATGACGGGTATGAGGTAACTTCCTTACAAGTAGTTTGTCAGGGAGGTCACACAGGCCCCCAAAACAACACACGACGCTGGTTTTACTCTTGGTTGCCCACCATAAATAGGCCCTACTACTTAAGACTTCACAAGAGAGGACACAGAAAAATCACCCTGGAACTAACCTGGAAACTTCCTCTCCACTAGCTAGTGTTCATGGTTTAAGTGCTGTGCAAGCCTCTGGGAGAGGAAAGTCTTACCTGTGGTAGTTTTACCCAACTGTGGTAGATACTACATGCTATAAATCTGCTCTTCCAGGCACGATGTCACCGTGAAGCAGCAATAATCCTTTCCCACTTAGACTGTGCTAAGTGACATGACTTGCCTCTACCAATCTGACCAGCAAATTCTGGCAACTAGAGTCATGATAAGCATTCATACACAGGAACTTCCTGGAATTCTACCACTCAGAAGTCAGCTGCCAGGCAGTAATAAACCCTCATCTAGACTCCTGGATGACAGACATACAGAAAGAGAAAACATGACAGGTAAGACACCATCAGAGCAGCTCACAAATATATGCCAACTGCCACAGTGACCACCCATACCGACAGTAGAAAAACACTGCCCAGTTAACCCACAGAATTTGCAATAAACTGTCATTAACACACCATTTCAGAGCAGTCTTCATAGCAGTACTGGGTAGTGACACAGTCAGAAAAGGATATGTGTTTGATAAACCTATGGCTATGAGATGTTTATGTAACTAGGAAGCAGAGGGAGGGGCAATGTGAGTGTCTAAAAACACTGCTTGAACCTAGGATTTGAGGCTAGCCTGAGTAATATTTCACACTGGCATCTCAAACTACCAATCTGTGAAATCACAATTACATTGGAAAGGAGAGGGAAAGGAGGAAGAGGGTTGGCGAGAAACACAAGTAGCAAAGAAATTCAGAAAGGTCATATAAATACAATAAGCAAAATTATAGCTTAAAAAAAGAGAAAAGTCAAAGGCATTGAAAACTAGTGAAAAATGGGCTGAGTCCTGAAGGAATCAGAGGAAAACTGGAGATTGAAAGAGAAGTCAGGAAGAGGAGTTCCACCTACTTCATCACTCTCGTCCACTTCTATCCCACCGTCTTTGTCATCATCCATTTGTTTATGGATTGTCTGAAGCGCTTCCAGACTAAATCTGTCTTCTTCAGTGAAGCACGGTGGGCTCAGTGATATACAGGGATCTAAAACAGAGCAGAAGACAATTACTAACTTGCCATACTAGGATGCAGGCTACAGATAGATGAAATCAAGAAGGAAAACAAACAAAAAAATCAGACTTCAGACTAAAGCCAAGATCTTTTGTCTTACCAAAATAAATTCTAATATAAAAAATATAATAAACAAAGTTGAGTAGAAAAAATATAACTAACAATAGGCAACAACATCTCAATTTATCTAACACTTATCTTTCAAGATTTCAGTTTATCCAATATTTCTAAAGAAAAAGAGATTTCCTCATAATAAGAAGAAAAAATTATCAGGGAATAGATGGTGTTACTTTTGTACAACCCAGCTGAATTAAAGTGGAAGGTTAGGGAAGCATTCAAAACAAGTAAGGAAGGAAACTGTAGAACAGCTTTCAATTCATGATAATCCAAGAGTCTATCTAACTTTTCAAATGTGCATATTTTAAGGTCTACAAGATTTTTAAAGGAAATTTTCTTCAAATCTTATTTCTCATGTATTCCTTAATATCTTTTTGTTAGATACACACCTCCCAATGGAAGACAAACTGAAAAATCATATTAAAGTTGTTCAAAAATTAAAAGACTAAAGCTAAAGCCAGGCATTCACGAGCTATTGTGTTTCATCCCACAACTAAAAAGGAATAGACTAACACAATAAAAAATGAAGAACTACTAAGAAGGCAAATGTCATGTGAGGGTCTTCAAAGACTTAAGGCCAGGTGGATGAAAGGTCCCTTCTGATGCTATGACAACAAAAGCCTACACGCCTTAATGGGATAGCACTGAGCTTTTTTACTCACATCCTCTATGGCTGACTGGTAGACTGTAAAGTTGGCAAACTTACTGTCATTATTTTACTAAATCATTAAAACAGTATCATTTAAAATTATAGTATCAGCAGAACCAGATGCATTCCTAGTTGCAGTGCCATTAAGGTTTAATATAATTTATTTATTAAACAGATACTGCCACAGAGTGATTATCACACCAACACTTCTGGTCCTGCTGTGAATTGTCAACTGTGAACAAAACACAATGGTCTCAGTTATCTCACTAATCTCTAAAATAAAGCAAAGAGGACAGATGCTTTCTAAAGTCTACTGTAGTAATAAAAGAACATCTAATTTGGTATTTATAAAAAATAATTACAGCAAAGTACCTGAGAATCATAAGGTATTTTACTTTCTAAAAGATAATTCACACCCAAACATCTACATGTTCCAGTTTACAATCTGAAAAATATCCAGAAAATTTAACATTTTAATATTTTTTATTTAAAACTAATTTTAATGTATTTAGTGCTGAAAGAAAATAGAAGAGAAAAGGAAACTATAGAAGGTGGGAAATGCAATTTCATGTCACATGTAGCTCAGTGGTTAAGACCATTTGTTGTTCTTCCAGAGAACCTGGGTTCAAGTCTCACCACTCTCATGGCAGTTCACAAGCATCTGTAACACCAGTTCCTGAGCTTCTGATGCCTTCATCTAACCAATGCAGGAAACAAACATTCAAGTAATGGACAGGGAAACATGCAGGCAAAACACCTATACACATTTTTAAAAACAATACAAAAAGAGATTAGAAAAAAACAATACATGCTTAAACCAGTTGTGGTGGCACATATCTTTAATCCCAGCACTCGGGAGGCAGAGACAGGTGGATCTCTGTGACTTGGAGGCCAGCCTGGTCTATATAATAAACTCCAGCGAGACAGAACTACACAGTGAGACCCCCGTCAAAAAACACTCAGGGGTGAAGAGACAATTCAGTCATTAAAGAAAAGGACTCACAACCAAAATGTCAAATAGTCAAAATACTAAGATTTGCTAAAACCTAAAAATTTGGGGGGAAGTAATAATGTTCAATTATGATTTCAATTCATGAGGCGACTAGAACATTCATATGTCTTTGAGTCCAAATTCATATGTAGTTTATGGGCAAGCTCAAAGGTAAGCTTTCACACTCCAAAACAACAATTAGAATCTGTTGCGGGAGGTCCTTCCGCTCCTCCAGCCAATAGCCGCTGAGATACCAGCCCATTGGGGCGTGGTCTCTCTCCCTTTAAAAAAAGCAGCTACTTCCCTTTTCACTCTCTTTGCTTCCTGCTCCGGTTCAGGCGACTAGACTCCTTCCTGACTGCACAGAGGCTGTTGTCTGGGACAGTGATCTGTAAGTTTTTTCCCCTTTAAATAAATACCACCCTATTAATCATAATTCCAAACTGGTGTGGCATTGTTTGTGACTTACGCCTTCAAGAATCAAGATCTACATGATGTGTAATCAGCTCCAACAGACTGACTTTATATGCATATAGTTTGCTCATATAGGGTGACAGAATTTGTTACAAGTGATATAGAATAGACCAATATATATATATATATATATATATATATATATATATATATAGACCAATACTGCTCACTCTGATTACACGGGTTTTATAGTTAAATTGCCTAAGAGACATTAACAGTAAGAACTGTCCAGGCTTTAGAAAGTCTCAGGATGATAAAATTAAGAGAACATGGAAAACGCATAAACTGATAAAATTGGACCAGGCATGACCATACATGCCTATAATCCCAATACTCCAGAGGCATAGACAGGAGGAGTGCCACATGTCTGGGTTACACAGCTAATGACAGGACAACCAGTGTTCAGAGGAAAAAAGGAAAGACTAGCTTATAGAAAGGTCTACAGACTATTCTGAATAAAAGAAAAAACAAATAATTTCTCACTGGCAAGGAAGCCCATGTTTGCAGTTCCCTTTGCTGGCAACATGATTTCTCCCTATTATAACCACAGGGGATGGTCTCCCTTCATCCCAAGGCCCAGATTCCTCCCCAGTCCCTATCTCAAACAGCCTCCCCTGCAATCTCTTCTCCACAGCCTTTTATCACAGTGGACGCAATATGTACATCTTTATTTCTTACTACTCCCACACTGAGAGGCCACCACAAAAATCACAGGCTTTGTTTTGATTATTCCTCTCCACACTGCCTAGAACAGTCAGAAACATTCAAAAATAATTGTTTACTGAATTACTTTTTAATTGGCTTCTTTGGGTGTTTTTTCTGGGGGGGGGGGGGGCTTTTTTTTTTTTTTTTTTGCTGTTTTCCAAGATAGTGTTTCTCTGTGCAGCTCTAGCTGTCCTGGAACTTGCTCTGTAGACCAGGCTGGCCTCAAACTCAGAGGTCCACCTGCCTCTGCCTCCTAAGTGCTGGGATTAAAGGTGTGCACCACCACTGCTCGGTTTATTAAACAGCTTTTAAAAATAAATGTTTGGAGAAGCCTTTTAAGAAATTATTCATGGCATTAGAAATCCAAGCTGGATCAATTGATAAATTCCTCATTCCTTTATGGTTAAGGTTAAATCTAAGTAGGCAGTACAAATTTAGTAATACTGTACTTCTACTCAACTATTTCATGTTCATCTAAGGGTTAATATGATGTTCACTCACTGTCAGATATTACTATTTACTTATTGAACACAATAAACAGCATACTAAGCAAAAACAGCCAAGCAAAACTTTTAATGTTTAACACAGCCTTCACAAGATCCCTGCAGTAGAGAAAGGAACTGTGATGAAATTACATGAGGTCGAGAACTAAGGCTGTTATGACTCTACCAATACTATCCATACCCTACCTACAGTATTAATCTAGTATGTCTAAAAAACAATGTGCCGCCGGGCGGTGGTGGCACATGCCTTTAATCCCAGCACTCAAGAGGCAGAGGCAGTGGGACTGCCTCCCAAAATCCTGTGTCCTACCTGTTCATCCCTCATTCCCAACCCCTGGTACCTGCTGATGTTTTTAGTTTTGTCTTTTCTCATAGTTTAGATCCTTATGATACAGCCTTCACAGTATGACTTCTTTTGACTAGCAAAATGCACTGAAGATTCCACTCTGGGGACTCAGAGATGTCTCAGTCAATATTGTGTGTGCTACATAAAAATGGACTAAGCACCCACGCTTTAAAAAAGAAGGAAGGAGGAGGGGGGGAGGGGAGGAGGAGAAGAGGAGAGGAAGAGAAAGAAAAGGAGAAGAGGGGGACGAGGAGGGGGAGGAGAAGGTAGAGGAGGAGGAGGAGGAGAAGAGGAGGAGAAGGAAGAGGAGAAGAGGAGGAGAAGGAAGAAGGGGACGAAGGAGAAGAAGGGGACGAAGGGGACAAAGAGGATGAAGAGGAACAAGAGGAAGAAAAGGAAGAAGAGGAAGAAGAAGTAGCCTCTGGGTGCACCTATGATCCCAACTAGTGAGACAGATTCAGGAAGACCCTGGAGCTTGTTGCCCAGCAAGTACAGTGGCACCTGTAAGCTCCAGGTTCATGAGAGACCTAGTCTCAAAATGACTGAGAAAGATACTGACATCTACCTCAGGCCCCTGTACACACTCACATTAAATCATGTACATAATGTATACACACAGAGAGACACAGACACACAGAGAGAGAAAGAGACACACACTCATGCACACAATCTCAGATTTGTGTTTTTTAGCACTGGCTCATTTCCTTTTAGGCTAAATATTTCACTGTCTGGATGAACCACAGTTTATCTATCCATTTCCTACTGGAAGACATCTTGGCTGCTAAGCTTTGCCATCATGAACGAAGCTGCTACAAACAATTCTGTGTAGGTTTTTGTATAAATGATTTTCCAACTCTTCTGGATAAATACCAACAGATGTAATCACCAGACTTCATGGGAGACTGATAGCTTTGTAAGAAACTGCCAAATCGCTTTCTAATAGTATTTACACTACTGTCCACTCGACCAGCACTGTATGAGTTCCTGGTGCTCCACACTTCATCAAGAGCTGGTACTGTCAATGCCCAGGGTCTGCCAAACTTTAAGGGGTATGACATATCTCACTGTTCTAACTGGCATTTCCAATTAGCATAATGTGGACTATGTTTTCATATGCTTATCTGAATCTCCCTGATAAGATATGTTGGCTTTAATCTAGAGATACATACATATTTGCCACCCAAGAAT